AGTCAGTAAAAAGTGTTGATTGTTTCTTAAACAAGATATTCTAGTAGCTAGCCAACTGCCAAAAGGACAATGCAATTGAAAATAAAATGAATGTATTTGTAGACATATCTTTTTTTTTTTTACAATACTATAGTAAAATTTCACAATTAACCATAAGGAGAGAAGTTTACCTAGACAATAAAGGATGAGAAAATTTGCATATTACATTAAAATATGTTTAATATGAGTACATTCATTTTACTTGACTTTAAAATTCCTTATTCTTACCTTCCATAAGTTTCCCTGTCTGTTCTGCACTTCCCCCAGGAAGAATCTTGGCTATATAGGCTCCAATTTCTCCGCCATGTCCAGGAATTTCTTTACCACCAACAATTCTAATTCCTAATCCATTACCTATATTGAAAGATTAGCAAATTATTAGTAGTAATTTAAGAAGGGACAATAGTTATTGCAAGTTATAGGGTGCATAAAAAGAAGGTCTGGTACCCAGAAGCTAGATATAACATGACTATTAGAAATGGATACCAACACCAAAAGTACATCATTCTGATTTTAATAACAGTTCTCTGAGATATCGGCAGACTCTCTAATAATTAACTGGATATTAAAAACAATTTTTGTAATTCAGCCATATTCAGTCTATAATAAGGCCTTGCAAATTTTGGCCAGATATTTTGTCAAAATATTATAAAAGGATGTTCTCAGAGCATATAATTCACTTATAGAATTAAGGAGCATTTTACTTACAAAAATGCAGTAATAGCTATCATAAATTGACAATGTATAATCCAAACATACAAATGATTGCTATGATAAAGAGAAAACATGATCATAACCTGTAAGTTCTTATTCATTTTTCAGCTTTAAGTCATTAACTAATATTGTTTGTATATTAACATCGCACTTACTATAAGGCACAATAAAATTATTCTTGACTGATGAACAACTTCGTAAACTGTTCCTTATTCCACAGTACAGACTTTTCTGTAATTAGCCATATGGATAAATGATAGAGAATAATTATTATGAGAAGCCTAATTGAGATAAATATGAATAGTTTTAGTTTGTGCGTTCTTTTAAACAGCTAAATATTAGCACATGTATACAGCACTGAGGATATCAAAACATAGAAAAGATATACCAGAAGTACCTATGCTGTTCATCATTGACTGAAATGTTGTTATGTGGTGCATGACTGTACTTCAGTGCATAGTGGTTTTAAGACTTTGGCTTTGATAATTTTGAAAGGTAAGAAACATATACTAATAATGACAAATAATGAAATATTTTTATAGCTCTTTTAAAGCAATGTTTGCCAACTCAGAGTAACTTTGCCCCTCAGGAGATATTTATCAATGTCTAGAGACATTTTTGGTTATCAATCTTTCTAATTTTTATGATTTAATAATTCTATATTATGCTATAGTCCCACTATTGACATTTTGGGCTAGAAAATTCTTTATTGAAAAATCCTATGCGTTATAGGGTTTTTAGCAGTATCCCTGGCCTCTACCCACTAGACACTAGGATGCTACTCCCTCTGAAGGACAGATGCTGCTAAAAATCCTACAACACACAGGACATCTTCCGACAATAAAGAATTTTCTAGCCCAAAATGTCAGTAGTGCCAAGGTTGAGAAAGCCTGTTTTAATGAAAGCAATGTATTTTAATTATTTTAAATCTAATGGTACTATAGCACAATCTAGCATTTTTAAATCACAAATTTAGAAATTTCTGACTGACATTGTTATAAAAATAAAACAAGGAAATCCATTTGCAGAATTCCTTCTATAGAAACCACTGGGTTACAAAAATGAGGACAGATCCTATATAACACTGATATTTTAGAGACATATTTTTGGGCTTTCAATCTGTCTGAGTATCTTTTAAAGTATTCTTTTCCCAACAAGTGCATATATATACAGTACTTAGAATTCACAAACAGACTTAACATTGTTATATCTTATAGAAGTAGGCTAAAAGTGTAGTTGTGAGACTTCAAAATCTATTAATTAAATTGAGTTCACAGGGTAGAGAGACATGCGAACTAATAGTTACTATAGAGAACATAAGTGCTTTACAAAAAAAAGGAAAGTCAAATTTATAGCAATTTCACAACATATAAGCACAGCTGTGGTTAA